ACTGCTTTTATAACCAAGTCTGGCACTTATGCATTCTTGCGTATGCCGTTTGGCCTTTCAGGGGCACCGGCAACATTTCAGCGATGTATGGACATTGTGTTAAGGCCTGTTCTTGGAAAGTCCACATTTATCTATTTAGACGATATCATTATTACTAGTGATAATCTCGACCAACATGTACAGGATTTAAGACAGGTGTTTTTCATTATTAAATGAGGCCGGTCTAAAAGTTAATGTCGAAAAGTGCAAATTTGCAGCCCCTGAAATTAAAATACTTAGGTTACAAAATATCTCACAAAGGAATCGAGACGGATGAATCAAAAATAATCGCTGTGCAAAAGTATCCGCCGCCAAACACGGCGAAGAAGCTCTCTTCTTTTCTAGGACTTTTTTCATATTATAGGTCCTTTATAAAAGATTTTGCAGCTATTGCTGAACCATTGTTAAAATTAAAAAGGAAAAAGGCAAGATTCTCGTGGACGGCCGAAGCCAATAGTGCTTTCGAAAAATTAAAGCAAGCATTAACGCAAGCCCCTGTTTTGAAATTTCCTGAAAAAGATGAGAATTTAGAAATTTCAGCGGATGCTTCGGATTATGCGGTAGGAGCGGTACTTTCGCAAAATCAGCAGCCCGTGGCATTTTTTAGTCGAACTTTAAATCAAACACAAAGAAATTATTCCGCGACCTGAGAGAGAGGCACTTGCAGTTCTGTTAGCAGTGCAAAAGTTCCGAGTCTATTTTGGAAGGGCGCCAATAACAGTGTACTCTGATCATGCGGCGGTAACTAGATTGTACTCAGGGAAAAATTTATCCCCAAGGTTAATAAGATGGGCACTCAAGCTGCAAGAATATAATCTGGTAATCAAGCATACCCCCGGAAAGGAAAATATCGTAGCAGATGCCCTATCAAGAATTAAAATTGATGAAGAAGGTAATACCGTAAAGGTGGCAATGCTCACAGCATGTACAATAATAAATTCCCGAGAAACTGTAATAACCGAACTGGGTAAGGATCCTGAGTTTGGAAGTATTTATGAGTATTTAAAGGATCCTGAAAATTTTAGCCACCAAGATATTGTGGCGATAAGAAATAGGGCGGCCCATTACGAACTAATAGATGGTCTATTATTTTATACAAAAACTACGAATTCCAACAACGAATTTCGACCTGTTATCCCAGCTAGTCTTAGATTAAAGTTGCAGGACTCCAGCCCTTTAGCTTCTCATGCTGGTATTCGAAAAAACCATCCAACGCGTACGCGAAGCAGTTTATTTTCCTGAGCTGCAAAATTTAACAAGGACGTATGTCCAGTCCTGCCTAACATGTCAAGCAGTTAATTATATTAATTTCCGCCCGGCCGGGTTTCTAAATAGCATTAAATCCGAATTTCCAAATGAAATAATTGACATCGATTTATTAGGCCCTTTCCCCAAAAGTTAAATAAAAGTTAAATAAAAGTTAAATAAAGTTAAATAAAAGTCGGTATCTCCTTGTTATGGTTGATCATTTTAGTAAGTGGACCGAACTTGTTCCCTTAAAACGAGCCTCCGCGAAATTAGTTACTGATTCTATTTTAAACAAATATATTTTAAAATACGGGGCGCCCCTAAAAGTTATATCGGATAATGGTCCTCAATTTGTAAGTAATATATTTTGAAGACATGTGCCAAAAACTGGGCATACGTCATTTAAAAATGGTCCCGTATCGGCCGCAATCAAATATAGCGGAACGGGTCAATAGAAATATAGTGAAAATTATCCGTAGTTATGTTAAAAATTTTCATAAAAGCTGGGATAACTATGTCAATGAATTTGCTTTCGCCCTTAGGACCGCAAAACATGATACGACGGGCAAAACTCCTGCTGAGTTATTTTTAGGCAGAAAGATTATAACGCCGTTAGATAAATTATTTTATGTTCAACAAAGAGCCCCAGAATTTAAAATGGGCGATATAGAAAAATTAATTAAAGAAGCAAAAAAGAACACTGAAGTAGCACAAAGAAAACAGAAGCTCTATTATGATATGAAAACGACGGGGAGTAACTTATAAAGTAGGGGATGAAGTGTTAAAAATTAAGCATTCACTTTCTTCAGCACCAGAAGATAAAACTGCCAAATTTTATCCACGATTTGAAGGACCATATATCATAGAAAAAGTAACTCAGGCTGTAGTGGTGTTAAAAGCCAGGAATGGTGAAACCTGCACCGCAAACGTTGACCAATAAAACCATTTTATAATCGTAATAAAATGCCAATATTTCAAGATCTTTTGCAGGATCCGGCATGGCAGAATCTCCAGAGGTGGACAACGACAATCACAAGGGCAAGCCATTAGTAGACAGGAGCAATATAAAAGAAAGTTCCCCCGTTGGAAAACTGAAGGTAACAAGAAAAAGAAGCCGTTCCACCAACCAGAAAAGAGAGAGCACGACCACCCCCAGAATGAAGAAGGGAGAAGTACGACGGGTGCAAAGATAGCGAGGAGAAATAACGGCAACTATAACCCGGCTCCAAAACGGAAGATCTACCCATCGGATAGGAGTCTACGCAGCAAATGTCGACGAATGGATAAAGGAAGACCAGCTGCAGATGCAAAGAAGCAAGAAAAATTTTAACAGCCAGCAACGAGATCCAAGCAGGAACGAGAGAGAGTTGTCCCGGTTCTGCCAAGACCAGCTGCCATCAAACGGCCGAGACCACAGGCAGAGGCTAAAAAAAAGGTCTTCAAGGGTGACCAAACTGGAAGGAAAAGAAAGCTCATGGAGGAAGGGACTGAAGGGCGAACCCGCACAAGAAGGAAGATAAACCAAACCGTAGTCTTCGCTACCTTCCAGGACTGGGCAGAAAAAAAGATGTCCGAATATCACAAAGATAAGTAAAACTTTAAGTTAGTTTGAAACCTTAAGTTAATTTTTCATTCTTACTGCAAGTGGCAGAATTCAAGACGTTTTACCTCATGTGAGGTCTACCTTTATCGCCAAAAAGGCGAGAAATGAGTTGTTACCTATTTTGGTATTATGTTTTTCAATTACTCTCGAGTAAAACTAAAATTAATGTATAATGTGTAAATACTTGAATATTGTAAAAGCATTGATAATCTTTGAGAAAAGTACCTTAAGAAAAGTGAAAAAGTTATTGTATAAAATTTTATTTAAAAGATTCTGGCAGAAAGAAGTTTTAGTCTGAAAGACTTTTTGAAATGTAGTATTTCAATGTAGAAGAATTGGCACTTGCTTGGAAAAGAATAGAAGTTAACAATGTACTACTAATGTATGTTTTTAAAATGCGTAAAATTAACGGCATGTTAATATGTCCTTATATACAATGTGAACTGTTATTTTAAACGTTAAGAAATACTGTGATATGTTAAAAGTGAAAGTAATGCCAAAAATTTTAACTTATTCGTGTGATTGTAAAAAGAGCAAATTATTGTGAATATGTGTTAAAGGTTGAATGAATGTAGTTAGGCTCTCTGACGCTACACTTCAGAGTTAGCCACTTTTCAGAATAGTACCTCAGGGTTTAGAGATGAATATAAGGTGTGTTCTGAGGTCTTGTTATGTTGAATTTTAACACGTTAGTGTTTTGATTGCAGGCGGTAGTGTTGAACACTTGTAAATAGACACGCTCGTGTTTGGTGTTTTTCTTTTACAACACATGTCAGAGAGCACGGGGAGATAATTAAATAACGTCATGAATGAAATAAGAATTTTAAAAGAGAAATATAAATATTCATGTTACTTGCCATTTGATTGTGTAACATTTCATTAAACTAGTTTTCCTTCCAGATCTCTGGAAGGAACCAGATTTCAACTAAGAAACTCCTGTTTATAGATGCAGTACGGATTAAAATTACTTGTCCATGGAGTTGATAATGTAAAAACGACTTTTTAATTTCTAGTTTCTAGAGAGAAATGTTTGTAAAAGATTGGCCTCGCGTTAGATTCTAGAGCGAAAAGTTTTCAACAAGGTCGCTTTAGACCTCAGTTTCAAACTAATTAACTCTGGCGGGAAGTATGTAAGGATCCTAAGTTTTACTAACGTTTATCTTATTTTAAATCTTTACTATCACTTCTTACTTTCTACTTCCGGCCAGAATTAGAAGCTTTAACTTATTTATGCAAATTTGTCTTGCTAACGCCAAGTACTTAAGTTGTGGCTTTTTGCCAAGCAAGAGAGAGGAAAGAGTTATTGCAAGCCACTTGCCATAGTAGTTTTACTCGGTTGCTGGTTGCCTTCAAGGCCAGAGGTTTAGTCCTCTTGATAATTTCAAACGTATCGTAGTTTTAGCAGCTCTCTGTACTATATACGGATTTTGTTAAATAACGGCCAATCTTAAAGTTAGGCACTTGTATATTAATCCAAAGTTAGTTTTAGTTAGTAGTTTTATATTCTTACGTTCAGACAAGTGGTTGGTCTCTGTATTCCGAAGTTCCGGAAATCTCTGTAAAGATAGAAAAATAAAGGGTTTCGTATACCCTTTCTGTGTGTATTGTCTACTTCACAATTTATTGAACATAGCTTGAGTAAGCTCCCTGTTCCGAGTCAGGACAGTTCATGTTTCCAAGGCAAGTAAAGAGGAACACAAGTCCTGATAAGATATATACTCACCGTAAATAAAATTTTAAGGAGATATTCTCCGCTTTGTTACAGAAGAAAATTACGTGTTTTTTAAATTCCTACTATTAGATCACACTCTCCTTGTATCTTGTTCAAATTTTCAGTCGTTAATAAAATACTTTTTGTTCATCCACTCAAGTTCAAATACATTTTTCTAAACTTGTAGTGGATTACTTGATGTTAGTACAGTTTTTTCACATATTAAATTGTTTTTAATTTTTAATTAAAAAAAATTGTATTTTAAAAATTTGTTTGTATTCGATTTTTTTTTCTTTTTTTCTTTTTTCTTTTATTATTTTAAAAATTTTTCTTCGTTGACCTAAGTAGAAATTGACTTAATTTTTTAATTTTTTTTTATATTACTTGCTATCTTTACAGGCTGAAGTCATTGTCAACGGTCGAAAACTAAAGACCTTTCCAGCTGTCAAGAAACAGGTATTTATTTCTATAGGTATCTCATACAATATCAAAAATCTTCACTTTCCCTTAAAAATTGTGTAATAAGTTATAAGATAGTACATAATTCAATAAAATACTAAATTATGTTATGAATTTTGAGGTTTTTCAATGATTTTATTCGGAGAAGATTACTCAACTGGAATGCGGTTAATCATTACATTTTTGGATTACTATAAAGATATTTGAATTTTGAATTATTACAAAGATAATTGTTTAAGAATTATGTACTATTTTAAGAATGAAGTAAAGATAAAAAAATAATGAAGTAATTTTGAATAGTAGTATAGAAATTTATATAAAATTTTGTTTTGAATTAAAATATATTATAAATAAATTAATATTGAATAACAGTTCAAAAACTGAGGTCCATTTTTACCTCTGCACAATTATTCCTTTTACCTTCCTCATGCAAGATAAATATGAAAGCTCCTGTATTATGTAAAAATTCAATTTTTCCTATAGAATGATAATAATAGTAATTCTAAAGCATCACAAACATGCTCGATAGTATTCAGATCTGGTAATCTAGGATGACTACTCCATGCGCTGAATTGTTTGCTGCTGTAGATAATCATCCACGATGCGAGCTATGTGCGATCTAGCGTTGTCGTCCTGTAGCAGGAAAGTATTACCTATTGCCCCAGCATTAGAAAGCACTATCATTTCTACCGTATCATTTCTTCATAGGGGCCCACCAGCGGCCGAGCGCTGAAATCGTTGAGCACTGGTAGTTTGGTCCGAGTTTCGAATCCTGTGAACGAGCTGGATGCATGGGCGTTTTCGTGGTTTTTCACCATGTGTAATGTGTATATGAGCCAGTTTCCCTTAGAAAGTCCTCTAGGAAGGCATCCCTGCCCTTAGGCAGATAGTCCTTGAGTCTTTGTCGTAATCACATAAAACAAAAAAACCATTTCTTCATAGGTCAAAGAGACACGATCTAATACTCATCTCAGTAGTTTGTTAAGAATACCTTTTAGCCTTTCCCATCAATAACTCTACCCCGAGACAGTCGGAGAACTGAATTTCCAATTGATATGATTCCAAGCTAAACCTCTTAATAAATATGAAGCGAGATTATAATTTGACCCAAAATTGCAATAAATAATTTTACATCGTCCTCTACGGACAATAAACCTTTTGGAAAGTTTGTAACAAGCTGTCTGTTATAAGAGAGGTGATTGACTTGAAAATGGACCGTTCTATAAACAGCGCAAGGAAATATACATACCTTAATCTTTACATCCTCTCTCAGAAGTTACAGGTCAGCCACAGCAGTTCCACAAATTTCCAACTACTGCAATCCGTCCTTCAGAGAAAGGTGCAGCGAAAATATCAAATCCCTTTGAATTGATTATTTTTAGAGTAATGCAGCTTAAACACCATGGATCTTATTGTTTTCTTGCATTCAGAATCGAAAATTTTTCTCTTAAGATGTTAATTAACATTTGCGTACAGTCGGATTCATTATTCATATGATAAGAAGACATCAGACATTTTAAAGCTTCGCGTTGAGATGAGAAAACCATAGACATTTTAAAGCTTCGTGTTCAGATGGCAAAATCATTGACATTCTAGAATCTTTTGTATCTTAATTTTGTATGTAAAAGAAAGCCTAATTTTTCAGTTTAATTCCGTTTTTGTGTCTGAATATCTCCAGCGTTTCCAGTTTCTCATCTCGCTCATTTACAAAACAATTTTCTTGAATTTTTTTGAATACTTTCCTTTCAGAGTTTAGAATTTTTTTGAGGGTCAAGGCGACCATGTTTTCTCTTAGTTTTAAGTGGATAGCAAATGAAAGCAAATCTATGGATACATGGTACGAGGTTAATTATCTAGTTGAAGTCAAACAAATATCGATATAACCAATCTCAATCAATAGCTGAGTATGCTGAAACTAAATACTTTGGAAAGGACGATACCACGCTCTTTTTGTTTTCTATATCAACTTCTTTTTCATCAAAAATAACACGATTAGTGGACCAGTTTCCTGAAGGTAAGTACAGACAACTTGGTTCTTCTCACTGTTTGGATTTTAGTAAATGTTGAACCCAACACCCTCTAGTTGTTAGATCTGTATGATTTATCATGCTTAATACATGTCTCCATGAGTTCTTATTTGTTAAATATTTGATTTCCTTCAGTCTGTTTTGAATAAGGACTCTCCACACCTCTTTTTTTTTTTTTTTTTTTTTTTTTTTTTGAGTACAAGTTGAGACAATGGAAGAATCTGCTCAAAAATAAGCATCTTTACGATGTATATAACAAAAAATTGTTGTTGAAAGATGAGTATAAATAGCCGCTGCAAGCAATTTGAGCCTCACGTTGGTGATTTAATCTTTAACATTTGACCCAGCTGTACTTCTGACTTATAACAACTAGACTCAAGCGTAATCTATAGTCTCTATTCTGATAAAGACAGCATAGCATAAGCATGCTTGCTAGCGTCACAGAAGAAATGCAGTGAAGAATTTTCACTGCGGTTCCTCGCACCAAGAAGCTTGGGAAAACGTATATTATCAAGATAAACGCGTTTTTAGTGTTTGAATCAATTCCTTCACCCGAAGCTATTCTCATCTTCCATTTTCTTGAAGCAGCAGCTTAGGTATTAGAACAACTGGGCAAATGACCCCTACAGGATCACACAATCTACAAGCAGCAGACAAGATTACTCTTTTAACCATCTTTTCAAAGTGTAGTTCTTTTATATTTCTGGCGTTTCTGCGCAAAGTTTCAGACTTCCTGTTCCAAATCATACCTAAAACATTTGAACCAGATGGAGCTGCTGCATCAGAACTTCCACTTTCTAAGCTCAAATTTTATTTCTGGAAAATCAAGCTTACGTTTTAATGAACTGATTAATTTCAAGTTTACCTTTATCATTAATGCAGTTATCTACAAAAGAACTGTCCAGAAGCTTTTCAATTACACACAATCGATAGAATGATTTTTCCAGCTTGAATTTGTTCTAACAGTTTGGTAAAACCTAATAAAAATAGCTCATAAAAGCTCCAAAAATTTCTCTTCAATGTTTTTATACGTTTAGTTCACCATAAATAGCTTTCAAAATAAATTTTAGATAGATTATTTGGAGCGTTGTAAACACTTGTCAAAGTATTTGGAATTATTTCAAAGAAATTTGGACCCTTTTCTAAGCAATCGTTGATACGATGTGGTAGATAAAATTCCTAAACTTGATGTTCATCCATAATTTATTTTATTATTCCATCTCTTAATCACTCATTGAAAGCTTCTTCGTAAGTATCATATAAAAACTCAAATGTGAGAAGTTGTAGTTATATTCAACATTTTCAAAGATAAGATAGGTAGTAGTCGTCTGCTAGAGGAGGAATGTCCTCTAGGCATGATAAATGTACCACAAAACGATTATTCTAGACTTTGAGGGTCTTTAATGTTGCATGGCGGCTTCATCTAACTAAAATTAAGTTTTCTTAATTGCATGTAACAAATACCTGTGTGCATTTAGATAACTTCCTGTTTTCTTGGAAACGAACTCTGGTATCCATCGAGGCTGGTGAAAGTGATTAAGAAAATACTCATTAAGGACAACCCTTTTGTTGTTGACTCATCTTCTAGGTCAAAAAAGGTAGCTTTTGCCTGAGAAATTCGGAGAGAGAAAGATGCATAGCGCGTCAGGAAAATTGTATTTTCCCTTCTGTAATGCACTTTTAATTAACCAAGAAAAGTAATGTACTTTTTAATCAACCAAGAAAACCTATGTTTTTTATATAAATCTAAAGAAAATGGTATTAATTTTTTCCTCCCGGAAGCTGGGTGACGTTACAGCTTAAATTTATTGGCGGCAGCGCTACAATATGAAATCTACAGAAGCAGTTTTAGTTTGTCAATCAAAAGAGAATTCTTGTATTTTACTCTAAAGAGACTCCGAGAATTAGTCCGAGTAAAGAAGAGGAGCGCCAGGCTCCGAAATACAGTTCATCTTAAGTTTGGGGGACCGGTCAATGTCCGAAGATATTCAACATCGTTAAGTTTGGTAGGATCGCCTCTGTCTGTAAATGTGTTAGTGAAGAGGAAAGGACAGTCAGGCTTAGAAATTCAACTCATCTTAAGTTCTGCGAGAAAGATCTTGAGCATCGTTAAGTCTGGTAGGACCGTCATTGTCCATAAATACTTTAAAGAAGAGAAGAGGTCCGTCAGGCTCGAAATTCAGCTCATTTCAAGTTTTACGGGATGGTCCAAAGATAGCATAGCATTTAAGTGTGGGACCAGCAGTGTCTGAAAAGTATGCGTGTCGTTAGAAGTGTAGGCATCAGCATCCATAAAAATTCAGAAATACAGCACCTTCATGTTCCAGGTCAACCAAGGCACCAAATCTAAGCAGTTAAGTACCTTGGATTTTTTATATTGAGGCACTGAAGTAATTTAATTTGAATTATTTCTGCAATTTAATTTATAAAGCTTACGTAACTATTTTATTAGTCGTCTTTGTTTTCGGTAAATCTTAAAGAAATGTGTTGCTTTGGTTGTTTATTTCAAATGAGAAAGTAATCTATTTCAAAAATTTGTATTTGTATTAATAGATCTTTCAATATCTGAAACGTTGATGAGTTCTGCTGAGACTAAGCGTATATAGTGTAAGAGAGAAATATTTATTAAAATTCTGAAGGTTCTAAATTTTACCTGGTATTTTGACATATCATTTCTAAGTCGTCTTGAATGTTTTAAATATTAGAATTTTAAGAAGTATAAAACATTAGTTTGTAGTTTGTGTAAGAATTACAAGAACTGAAAAATTTTCAATTGAACGTGTTCAAGGAAAAGATTAGAAACCCCTAGTATCTTATGTTTAAACTGTAGTTATATCGATATCTAGTTATGAGCATTTATATATTTGTTTTTAATTTAGCTTTGAATGCATGCTTTAATATACCTATTTTGATGATCCTAAAAAATTTTGATCATCTGATTGTAAAGTATGTAGTATTATCATAAATCGT